AAAGTCTAGCAAAGCAACAGCAGCAAATTGCCGAGCTGGTCAAAAAGTCGATCCAAACAGATGAAAAACTTAAAGAGACAGTGCACGACACCAAAAAAGTTAAAAAGAAGGTTGGTCTGCTAGAACAGAGACAGGATTTACAGGAACGCAGACTACTGAACCTGCAGATGGAAAAAGCAAACAAGACACTCAGATTCCAGGGGATAGCTGAATCGCAAGGAGAAAACTTGAAAAAGATGATGGCAGAGCTTATCGCACCGGTGGTGGGCTGTTCAGCGGCAGAAGCGGAAGCTGAAATCGAGGTGGTCCATCGATCATACTCAAAGTACATAAAACGGAATAACCTGCCGGGTGAAATTGTCGTTAAGTTTCTCCGAAGACAGATGAGGGATGATATCCTTAAAGCAACAGCAGCTAATCCCCTGCAGTTGGGAACTGGAACTATCAGAGTCTTAAAAGATGTTCCATTCAAGGTTCGTGAGAAAAGAAAAGCCTACAAAGAGCTGATTTCAACATTGCAGATCAATCAAATTCTGTATTCCTGGAATTTCCCGGAGGGAGTCGTGTTTAAATATAGAGACAAAAGGGAAAAAACTGACTCGGTTCTTAAAGCAGAAGAATGGTTGAAACGGTTTTTCGGATCGAAGGAGGAAGAACAGCAAGAAGGAGAGGGCGGAGCAGTCATCATAGAAGACAGGGACGATGACCAAGGAGCAACAGGTGGCGAGGCCAAAGAGACATAAGATTTGAGGCTTAGAAGACCAAAATAACTCTTTGGAGACTTGAAATTTGCAAACAGAGATGAAGATGAAAGAACTCTTTGCGCACACAGAAGATGACGGAGAAGACACTAACATGGACTTACTAATTTCCGATTAAATTGACTTAAACGAAAAACTTTAAAATTTTGAATACTAACAGAATACTAACTGTTAACAACCCTCTCTCTTGGGATTTTAGTCATAGTGTGGGTTTTTATTTGCTGTCCTTTATCCTGGGGTAACTTTTCCCTCCCCCTTTTTCTTTTCTGTAGTGTTTAGGTGTAACAAAAAATAATAATAAAGCTACCCTGCTTGCAGGGGATTAAAAAAAGAATAGGGACTCATGTAACCCCTACACTATCCTAACTCAGAGTTAGTAAAGGTAAAGGTTTCCCTTGCTCGAAAGCCAGTCGAATCTGACTCTAGGATTGCAGTGCTCATCTCCGTTTCCAAGCCGAAGAGCCAGCACTGTCAGAAGATGTTTCCGTGGTCATGTGGCCGGCATGATTAAACGCTGAGGCGCACGGAATGCTGTTACCTTCCCACCGAAGTGGTCCCTATTGATCTACTTGCAATTTCTTGCTTTCGAACTGCTAGGTTGGCAGGAGCTGGAACCAGAGATGGGAGCTCACTCAATCATGCGGCACTCGGATCTCGAACTGCTGAACTACTGACCTTCTGGCCTGCAGTTCAGCATCTTAACCACTTGAGCCACCGCAGCTCTTAACTTGGAGTTACTCCAGCATAAAGGCAGTTTAAGCTGGCGCAGGGCACTAGTGGCACTGTGCTCATTACCACCACTGCAGGAGCACTGCAGCCACACGCTGGCAGAGCGATGGCACAAACCCCACTGCCAGTGTACATGTGGACCTTCCAGGGGGTGTGGCAGCAGTTAGGTGGCTTCCAACGTTTTTTCAGCATGGGAAACCCCCCCCCAAGCAGGTGCAAAGTTGCGCTGGCAAAAATAGTGTCATGTCCCATTGACAGACATTCCCTCCCTCCCCCAGCTATGGCCACAGCAATGGGATCCCAAACAGCTCAGGATACTAAGCACACACCCAATCAGCACACTCCCCTGCTCTAGCCATGCCCCTTCTTGCGAACCAATCATGGTCCACCCCACCCTACAAATGGTTCGAGGAGATCACCCCAGAATTCCATAGGTAGGGAGCATAGTACTGAATGCTGTCTGACAGCTCCCTGCTGTGCAGATGTAGAGCGAGCGCACATGCACCCTGGTGATGGGCACAACTCAGACAGGGAACCTAACATGACTCGGTGAACCCCTAGGGGGAATACACTGCAGGGAGAGCAAAGTCCACACTTCGTGGCTGACCTCTCCCAGATTTCAGCACCTACATCTATATCATGGTAGGAGTGCTCTCCCCGAATTTCGTGTTTTCTAAGTCCAGGGGTTTGGCCTGGGCATTGATTTTATGGTGAGGGGGCTTTCTTTTATAAATATAGAAGGCAATGATCTACTCAAGTACAATCCTTTTTGAATGCTTCCTTACACAGCTGAGGCCTGAAAACCAATTTACTTTTGACACAACAATGTGGCTGAAGGCTAGCTGACACTGCCACCATTTAATATACATCACCACTCTCATTTGAAAACACTCTTGTTTTTTTTTAAGTAAGAACCCGACTCTCCTAGATTTCTAAAAGGGTGATAAAACTAAAGCATCAGGTTAATATTTTTTTTAAATGCTCAGGGAATTGGTCAAGTTTGACTGCAGAAGTGGCAACTGCAAATTACCTTCCTTGCACTTGCAGCACTAAGTTGCACCCATAGGAATCCAAATGGCAAGGCGTGTTTGCTCCCGATGTGCCAACCCACAGAGTACTCTCCTTTCCATCTCTTCCAGGAAATCCAAAGTCAGACCATTTCACATCCTGTTGGAAAGAAATTTCAGGTGAAACTATCATATTTTGAGTATCCTATTAACCAGGCCACAGCCAACCTCCCCGATTCTCCCCCTTTTCTATTTCTTATTTCATTTATTTATTTCATTAAATAAATATTTCTTCTCATCCCTTCTAAGGCCGAGTTCAGATGGGCAATTTGAAGGGCTAGGGAGTCGTGGCAAAGAAGACCCAGAACAGACCCGGAACGGCTTGGTCGTGGTATTCCCGTTCACACTGCAGCGAATGAAGCAGGAGGATACTGTGGAGGAAGCGCAAGGGAGCGTTTGTACTGTTGGCCTGCCCCTGGCGGGCTGTTAGCGGCTGTTTCTGTGCTCCGCTGTATGTGCTTATGCGCATGGGCACCTGCCCACGGAAACAGCCGGTGCCTATTATCAATGACTGCGGGTTGTTCCTGCCTTAGCAACACTTGCGTTCACACATCAGGGAACCGGAATCAAACCTCTCTACACACAGTTTGCTACCACTTTCACCTGGTACTTTTTAAACTCGGGAGGGAAGCAGCACAGGACGGCTTGAGTACGGCTGGGGGACGCCTGGAAGATGTGCTTGTGTGAACCCGCCCCTTTAATCCGCTACTGAAACGCTCCTGAAACGTTTGGCTGCCGGGCCAAACTGCCACTCTAAACTTGGCCTAAGTATATTAATCACACAAAACACGATCTTTTCTTTTGCTGTTATACTATGTCCTACATTGATATCTGCCATCACAGAGAAAAATCTTTAATCAACAAAGTAAATGGGAACTTCAAAATTAAGGTAGGTAACTATTGATGTGGGAAACAGCTTTGAAATTCTCTCCTCGCTCAGCTAATCGCCATATCACTCTCTGTGAACTGTCACTGGCTTGACATAGACAGCCACTTTCCAAGTTTCCGTAATGGGCATTTAACCACTTGGTTAAACTGGTCGCTTAGGCAGTTATAAGCCAGTGCCCCGCCTGCTCTGTATCTAGAAGACTAGTGTTGTTGTTTTTTAGAATGTGGTGGGGGTGGGTAGAGACTGAGACCCAGTAGTTAGCATAGTAGTTAAACTGAGAATAGAGAATCCCCATACTGCCATGAAACTCACTGGATGATCTTGGACCACTTGAACACTCTCTCCCCTAAACTACTGCCAGGGTTGTTGGGTGGAGAAGAGCAAAACCACAACACTCCCCTGAGCTTTTTGTGCCAAATGATTGTTAGGATTAATAGTTGTATATGATACATATGACCTATGTGGTGATCTGTTATAGTTGGAATTGTATATTTTATTATTATTGAGATTGATGTCTAGGTAAATTTGTAATTGATGTGTATGTAAACTTGATTGGAAATCCAATTAAAAAAAGGAAGAATGCCGCGACAAAACCTGATGATACATAATATTTCCATGGTTTCAGCCACTATGCAGTACAACCATCCAGTTTAGCAAGGTCCTTTAGGATTTCTTTACTGTTTGCTTGAGACATTATCAGGCCTGGCTACAGTATATGGATGGCTTCAATTATGCTGGTGGGCTATCTACCTTTGTTGCTTGAATTCTCAGCAGTGTTTGATACAGCTGACCCCTTGATTTTATCAGAGCACTTGGACAATTGTGTTGGTATCAAATACTTTGGCCACCAAATGAGAAGGGAGCACTCACTGGAGAAGACCCTGATGCTGGGAAAGATTGAAGGTCAAAGAAGACGGGGACGGCAAAGGATGAGATGGTTAGACAGTGTCATCAATGCAACGAACATGAAATTGAGCAAACTCCAGAGGACTGCGGAAGACAGGAAGGCCTGGCGTGATCTGGTCCATGGGGTCGAGGAGAGTCGGACTCGACTGTGCGACTGAACAACAACAATCAATGCCAAGCACCAGAATGGGTGCATTATTATCTGATCATGTTCATTAGGTAACATTTGGGGTTTCTCCCTCAGCCCTTTGGGATCAATATTGTGGAGTTCCAGAAGGCTCTGGGTGGTCACCTATGTCGTTTAATGATTACCTGACACTTCTTGCTGAGATTGTACATAGCTTTGGAATTGGGTGTTATCAGTAAGCTGAGGACTCCTGGCTATACATCTCTTTACCAAGCCTCCAAAAGGGGTTATGGCCAGGTGGCAGAAGATAGAAATGATGGTGCCTGGAAAGTCTGATGACTCAGAGGGCGTTATGCTACTAATTTATTCTTGATGGGGTAATTTAGAGGTTGGTGGTGGTGGGGGTTTTAGTTCCAGGCTACTTGCTAGGAAACACAGGTGAGGACGGTGGTAGAGAGTGCATTTTTTCAGCTTCATCTTGCACGAAAAGTGGCTCCTTTTTTAGTCTGAGCCAGTCTTCCCACACTGATCTTAAAGTTAGACTACAATGGAACTGCCCCTTGAAGACAATCTGGAAACTTTAATAGGCATAGAATGTGGCAACTTGTTAGTGGTATGAAGTCACTGCTGTATCCATACCAGGGGTCATTTACTGCCGGAGCACACAGGAGCGGAGCTCCGGCAGTAAGGAGCCCAGGGGGTGGGCACATGCAACAAGCCCTGCCCCCTGCTCCCAGCAGCCTTCAGTCGGGCCACGAGGAGCAAGAAGCAGCCAGGTAAGTTGCAGAGGGCCCCCCCGCCACCTTCAGGTACAAGCTCTCCCTCCTCTGTGAGGACAGATCTGCACGCTCCCCCCCCAATAGCTAGCAATCCAAAACAGTCCAGTGGAGCCTGAAAGGTGGGTGTTGCCATCTGACACACTTCCGGTGATGGCAGGGGGTGTGGCATATGCAAATACGTTATGCTAATAAGTTATGCTAATGAGCTCCTGCACTTCTTTTTCTATGAAATGACCCCTGATCCATACTATGACTCTTTCAGTATTGTTACACTGGCTCCATGTTAGTTCCTGTGTTCAGTTCAAGGTGCTGGATCTCACCTATACTGCCCTATGAGGCCCCCTTCCTCTACCCTCCCTCAGAGGCAAGATTTTCTGTCCGTTTTTCTTTCTCTTTACTGACTGAGCCACCCTAGTAATGTGTTTTCTTCTTTGCTGAAGAACTCTGGCTGTCCCACCCTGTCACAGTATAATATTTTGGCTGTTGGCTCAGCCCAGGAACCTGAGGGAAGGGTCAGGATCACCCTTTAAACAACTTAAATGACGTTCGAGGCATTTTGAAATTCAAAAATAACAAAATATTTTATTTAACATAGAGAGGAATGGTCAGGTGAAATCAGGCGTTGAAATTTCTGAGATAAAGCCAGTACATGCACAGACTTTAGTTCTTATGTTTCAGGCTAGTGAGAGTTTCTTAAGCTTTTCACAGTGACTTAAATCTTTTTGTTGAGAGGCTTTTGTTCCAGTGCCTTCCTCAAACTCTTCAGTATACTTTCTTTAAGTATTCTCTGTCTCTTTTTGTTTCCAGAAGGCTGGTACACTCTTTTTGGTACCCAAACCTTTTGCAACACCAGTACTCATCTTGAGTTTTAACTGATTCTTAAGGTCTCCAAAGGTAGTTTCTAGCCACCACCACCACCCCACCAGGCATCTCTGTACTCTTCAGAGCTTACTCCCTGTTTGACTGTGTAGGGAATTTTCTTCTCTCTCAAGAAAATCTATCCCCTTTCCTGTGGTGGCGAGCCTGTGGCACGGATGCCAGAGGTGGCACTCATAGCCCTCTCTGTGGGCACACGTGCCATCGCCCCAGCCAGGCCCAGACCATCATTAAAGTGTCAAATTCTCTGCCAAATAAATTTAAGTAAATGAAAGCATTTGGGATGGCTTTCCTTACTTTGTTTGGATCATCTTAAGTTAATGTATGAGTTATTTTTTCTAAAGTAAAACCTCCGTATTCAGGTTAAATTGCCGTGTTGGCACTTTGCGATGAATAAGTGGGTTTTGGGTCACAGTTTGGGCACTCGGTCTCTAAAAGGTTCGCCATCACTGCTCTAGAAGATCTATCCCCTTTTCTTGGCCCGAATGGGAGCCTTTGCCTACTTCTCAAACTTCCTTGCCAATTTCCCCCCAGTTATCCTGTCTGTGTTAAACTGCTCTCAGTCAGGGCTGAATGCCAAAACTGTCATTACTCAACTCCTCTCATCTAGAGACTGTCAGTACTCAACTCAACCAAGGCCTGTCTCCTCAGTATGCAACTCTCAAGTCTTTCTCTGCTCAGCTGATGCTAACCAATCAGATCTCTTAGAAACAGCCCGTCACTCAAGGTTCTCTGGCTCTGTGAAGAATTAACCCTTCACAGTCCTTTATCTGTTTACACAGCACTTCTAAGCTTTCGTTTATTTATACTGTTTCTCTGCTTTGAATGCTGAATTTAAAATGATTTACATAAATAATTAAAAGTGATATTGTCCACAAACTACCTCTCTATATCTATATCCAGTCCTGGGATAATTCCCAGGACTGAAATGTAATAGTGGATGGATATGAGTTGTTCAAAAAACCCCAAAAGGGTCAAAGAGGAGGTGGAGTGGTGCTATATGTGAAGAGAGGGTTGGTTTGTAAAAAAAATACTGGAGGGGGAGGGCAACAGCCCAGTGGAAAGTATCTGGATGAGGATAAGGGAAGGAAGGACAAACAGTATTGTGGTTGGAGTCTGCTACAGACCTCCTGACCAGGATGAGGAGGTGGATGCTGCCCTCCTTGAACAGCTTGACAGGGTATCCAAACAACATGGCCTGGTAGCTATGGGTGACTTCAGCTTCCCTGATGTGTGCTGGGAGAGAAACACTGCAAAGGGTCCACAGTCACGCACATTCCTGACCTGTCTGACTGACAACTTCCTTCATCGAATGGTGGAGGAAGCTACAACGGGCTTGGCCATACTCAACTTAATATTGGCCAACAGGTAAGAGATGGTAGATGGGATAAAGGTGATGGGGATCTTAGGGGGAAGTGACCATGTCCTGCTGGAATTCCTTTTGCTGTGGGGGACCAAGGAAGTTCATAGCCACACGTATATGTTAGATTTCAGTAGGGCAGATTTTAATAAACTCAGGGGCA